CACACCTACAAACACACCCACACAAGGTTTAAAATACACAAATATTTCTGTAGACATCTCTTAACACACACATATACAAATGCACACACACATAAATGCACATACCGCACACACCCACACACACCATCAGTTGGCTGCTAACGCTGAAATATACACTGATATTTACTTCAGCTGGCACATTCATCTCATAAGTACCGCACGCACACGCACACGCACACGCACACGCACACACACACACACACACACACCTACACACACACGCCTCACACACACACACACACACACACACACACACAGCAGACTCCAGAAACAATCACTTCGATCAGTCGTCTTCTGTCTAAAAGCTGCAGCTGTCAGGTTTTCTTCCCGAGCCAACTTAACACGTCAGCAGGTGGAAGTTTACACGTCATGTCACATTTGTCAGCAGTTTAAACTCGTATGGGTTCAAAGAATCCACCTGAGTGTTTCGAGCGCTACAAACACGCTGAAAGCAGAGTTTGTAGAGTTTGATGTGTCGTTAGAAAATCGTACTCAGATTTCGATTTGACATGTAATTGTATTTTTTCTTTAAAAGATTATTTGGGCACTTTTTGAGAGACGTTTGCTTTTTTCCTGAGAGTTAGACGATCTTATGTCTGGATGAACATAACAACTGCATGTCCGTACAGCTTTAGACATTTAAACACATTTCTGCAACAAGCGTCAACCAAGTTGAGCGAGCACTTCTTCTAAGCGTCTGTTAGCACTACGAGCGACAAACATCTGATTTAACGTCACTAATATGATTTGAGAGCAGCTTTAAGAGTTGGTATTTCTGCTTCACAGCCAACAGTATATATAAATAGGAAGAGAGCTCGAACTGAAGCTGTGTGGACGTCGTCTTTAGTTTGTTTTAATTGCTGCTGCTGGTCTTCGTGTCCCTGTCCTCTGTGTAAATGTCTTCTTCTTTCCTGGGGTTTGTTTTCCTTTGATTATGTTTGATCAACTCTTGAGAACTCTAGAGATTCAGTGCCTTACGTTTGCTACTTCTTGTCTTTTTTTCTTTGTTCTTCTGAGTTTGGGAAACACTGCTGTACAGAACAAAGGCTGCTGTTGTCTGTGTTGGATTTTTCTATGCGGTTGAATAAATAAAACTTTGGTTCAGATGCCGTTTCGTTCGTAGCCGTTTATTTAATCAGAAACTTTCCAGAGGGACGAGGTTCAGCTGGTGAGCGTCAGAGCTTAAAATCTAATTTTACTTCAAGTTAAATCCTTTAAATGTTGTTTAATTTGATATATAATTCTCCAAACTAAAGACAGAAGCTGTGACTGAATCTCTTTGTTTGTTTTGTACGAGAGAGAATATAAAACTACAGTGTTTTATATAGAATAAATAATTAAAAGTCACATTAATGTAGAGACATTTAACTGATAACCAGTAATGGAAGAAATACTCTGATATTTTATTTAACAAATGTGCTACGTAACAATAACACAGTGTAACAATACTCTGGTTAAAGTCCTTCATTTAAGAGTTTACTTAAGTACTTAAAATATACTTAAAGTATCAAAAGCACTCAGATTATAATTACTGATGCAGTCACATTACGGTCTAACAATGTAAATTTATATTTTGTATTTATACAAAGGAGCTAAAGTTGAAAGTACATTTCCCTCTGAGGTGTAGTTGTAATAAAGTACCTCAAAATTGTTTAATATTTAGTAAATGTACTTTATTACTTTCCACAACTGATAACGAGCAGTCAGGAGTAATTTCTAACTACCACGTTTGTTTGGACGAGTGAAAGGGACCAGAACATGAAGATCAGGGTCATTCATACACCTGAGTTTATCTGTTGTCATAAGTTTGGAGATCTTTAAACTTTCTTCTAGCTACCAGGTTTATGGAAAACTAATAACATTTTGAACAACTTTACTTCACTACATTTATGACAGCTTCATACTGTTTTATTTGTAATTAAACTGTTTTGATTCAAATTAAACCACCTAACAGTTTATACAGGTACAGCTGAAACATTTAACAGTTAACTGATTAGTCAATTGATTCCAGATGTTCTGTTTTTTACTCCACTACATTTATCTGTTACTTTCAGATTAATACAAGATAGATTGAATGAATTATAATTTATTCTACAGCAGTATATACATTAAACATTAGCTCTATGATATCTGTTAAGTTACATTTTGAAATATATCCACCTTTAGCAGCTTCTAACCTGAACATGATCCACAATAATTACAATCCTCTAATACATTTTATTCTGAAACAGGACGAACTGTATGATGAGATCGTTCCTCAGATTGTTTAATTTAAATGAATCTTTGGAGGCCTGAAGGTGAAAATTTATTATTTAATGAGGAAATAAGTCAAAAACAAACATTTCTTTGTGTTCAGAGTGTTTTCGCTGTATACAGAAAGTGTTGCGTGATAAAAGAAGGGAGAAACTGCTCTTGGATGAGATAGCATCAGTTTATTATCATTTGTTGTAAATGGATGAGTGTTAAAATATGCTGCTTAATGTTCCACAATGTCGCTGGCTTGTGAATTCAGCCCAGTATGTTCAGGCTGACGGACACAGAATGCAATGCACTTTTTATTTTAAACGGTTCACAACATTGCCGGCTACTGAACGCAGCCTGGGACACAAAGGCTGATGGGATTTTTTTTATTTATTTTTCTCTTTATGACTTTAACATATCTGCTGCTTGTTGAACGCAGCCTGGTTTGTGGTAAATGTCGATGCTGCGCTCTGGCTGCTCCTGAACGCAGCCCCGCCCCCCCGGAGCGCCGCAGGGAGTCACGATTGGTCACACAGGAAGTCGTCTTAGTCGTCCAGGAAGAAATAGTTCCCGCTCTTCTTCTGTTCCGTGTCCTGGGAGAAAGAGGGCAAAGGTCAGACTCAAATACGGCACAGTATCCACTCTTTAGGTCAGCGGTCTTCAAACTGGGGTCCGGGGACCGATGGGGGCCCTTGAGGAGGTTGTGCTCAATATTTTATTTTACTATAAAAAGTTTTAGAATCTTAAAACCTAAAAATAAAATCCTCTGACATTAGGAGTCTGTGAGACAGTTCATTACATAATAATATAAAAACTTTATCATCCTTGTTGTTGTAATTCCTACAACTCACCAGCAGAGGTCAGTGGAGGTTCATCAGAGTGTGTGTGTGTGTGTGTGTGTGTGTGTTCCTTACTTTATCATGTGAAAGTCTAATGAGCAGCATTAAACACTTAAAGTTTGTAAAGTGTTCGGCTGTCGTGTAAAGTTTGTCTGATCCTTTAATGTTTGACTGCAGAGTGGAAACAGTCGATTATTAGACTGACTTTTAGACTATACGATTAATCAATAATAAAAATAATCTTTATTTGAGCTCTACTGGTGTAACTGAAACTAACCATTGTTTTCTTTATTAATCAGATATTCGTTCGGTCTATAAAAAGGTCAAATAGTGAAAAAATAACTAAAGCCTGATCAACAGATATTCAGTTTACTTTTATAAACAACCAGCAGAAAAACAACTCATATTCACATTGTAGGAGCTATTGGCTTCAACAAACTTTACTTTTCTTTCATAAAAGGCTGAAAAACAGCAAATACCGACATTAGAAAGACATTTCTGCTTAGAAATGTTCAATTAATTAAAGATCAAAATGCAAAAAGCTGCCAATTCATTTCCTGTCAATCAACTAATCGTTTCAGCTCTGGTGTAGTTTTTATTTTCTTTGTTTTTTACAACAATAAACATGTTAAATATGAACTATTAACTGAATTGATCTGCTTAAGGAGAGATCCAGATCTGAGTCCTGACTGTAGAAGATGGTTTGATGGTGTAGTACCGGAGCGGCCACAGGGAGGCGCTGTGTGTGTCTGTTAGTACCTTGATGGAGTTGAGCTTGTTGATGCGCGGTCTGAAGTTGTTCGGGTCTCTTCTGAACGTGATCTCCAACAGCGACAGGAACCGGTTCATCCCGGCCAACAGACTCTGAGGACTGAACAGAACGTGAGCGTTATTAAACGTAACGCGCCGCCGGGTCGGTGGCGAGGGCTTTAAAACGTGCGTCTGGGTCTTACGTGTTGGCCGCGGTATGTTTGGAGGGAATACCGTCAAACACGATAACTCTGTCGGCCAGGTAGGTCGCCATGATGAAGTCGTGCTCCACCACAAACGCCGTCTTCTTCGCGTGGAGGATGTACCTGCAGGCAGACACACACACCAGAGTCAGACAGACAGGCAGACAGACAGGCAGGAGGATGAGGATGAAGAAGGGAGGAAAGAGAGGAAATAGAAAGTGTTGGTGACCTCTTGATGACCCTGGCGGCCATCAATCTCTGCTCGGAGTCCAGGTAGGCCGAAGGTTCGTCGATCAGATAAACGTCGGCAGGTTTCCCCAAACAGAGAGTGAGAGCGACTCTCTGCAGCTCACCACCAGACAGGTTCTGCACCTGAGGGAGGAAGAGGAGGAGGAGG